CGCCGCCGCCGCCGCCGCCTGCGCGGCCGCCGCCTGCACGGCGGCCTGCGCGGCCGCCTGCTGCGCCACCACCTGCGCGGCCTGCGCCTCCTGCGCCGCCGCCAGCTCGGCCAGCGCTGCGGGCATGTTGCCTGCATCCAGCTCCTTTTTCAATCCCTCCAGCTCCGTGGGTGAGGCGTACCGCTCCTTCACCTCCCGCAGCTTCGCCTCAGCTGCCTGGCGGTCGGCCGCCAGCTGCACCAGCAGCTGCTGCAGGGTCTCGTTCTCGGCCTGCAGCACCACGCAGGCACACGCGGCGAGGCAGGCAGGCATGCGTGCGGTCAGGCAGGCAGGAGCAAGGTCGAGATCAGTGCGAGCGGCGCACGATGACACACAGGAGCGCCGGCAGCAGCAGCGACTCCTCCCTGCCCGCCATGCATCCTGCTGCGGGCCTCCCCTCGGCTCACACACAACGCCCCTGTGCCAGTACTGTAGGTACAGATTGGCGGTACGGGTCGTCCTGCCCCAATCCCCTGCACCTCCACGCCGCAGCCCGCTGCACTCCCCTAAACCCTCAAACATCGGTGTGCCCCCAGCCAGCTGCCCCGCCGCCGCTCGGCCCGGCCGCTGGCTCGTCCCAGGCGCCGCCCCGCCCTGCCCCGCGCCGCACCTTGAGCCGCTGCAGCTCCAGCTGCTGCGCCTGGCCCAACTCCGCCTTCTTGGCGGCACGGGCCATGGCATCCGCGCGGGCGGCCTCCTTGGCCAGTTCAGTCACCTCGTTCTCAGCTGACTGGATCATCCTGCGGGCGGGGCGGGCGAGGAGGTGGCCAGGCGGCAGCGGCAAGGTGTTGGGGCGGGGAGGCAGCGGCGGCAACGCCCACGCTCGCCAGCCATCCGGCCGGCCGGCGCAGCAAACACGGTCAGGCGCCTGCTGTCCGCTGGCGCATCCGAGCCCCTGCCTGCTTCCTACACACAACCGGATCCCGCCGCAGCCGCCAGCCCACCACCACCCACCACCACCACACACACCACCACCAGCACACGCCCCAACCAGCGCCGCCACACTCACTGCTTGGCTGCCTCGGGGTCCACTGCTTTCTGGGAGGCCAGGCGGGATGCCGCCAGTGCCGCCTGCTTCTCCTCAGCCAGCTTGCGGGCCAGGGTGCGCGCGGCAGAGATCTTGGCTGCCACAGCAAGCTTGGCCTCAGCACCCATGACAGACATCTCCCGCGGCGGCGGCGGCGGCGGCGGCAGCGAGCCAGGCGCCGCGCTGCCCGCCGTCGCAGCGGCCGGCTTGGCCGCAGCCGGCGCCGGCGGCGCCTCGGCGCTGGCGGCGGCAGGCTCGGCTTTGGCGGCTGCGGGGGCTGCGGCGGCCGGCTTCTCTGGGGGGATCACTCCCAGCTTTGCTGCCACCTCCTTCACAGTCGCGGCCAGGTTGTCTGTGCGGCTGCTGCCGTTGCTGGCTGCCGGTGCGGCGACGGCCGGTGCTGGGGCTTGCTTCTTCTCTGCAGGGGCTGCAGCGGCGGCGGCGGCCTTGGCGGCGTCGGAACCCGGCTTGCCCTCGCCGGCCTTGGCGGCGGCAGCAGGCTTGGCCTTTGCCGCGGCCTCCGCCGCGGCCGCCTTGCCTGGCCCTGCCGCAGCGGCCGGCGCGGGCTTGGCCGCTGCCGTGGCGCTGTCCCCCTCATCCTTGGAGCTGCTGGGCTTCTCGGAGGGCTCGTTCCACTTTATCTTGAGCGCCTGAACCTGCAGGCGGCCGGGTGCTGCCCGCTGGCGGCGCCCCGCCGCCGCCGCCGCCTTGCGGAGCGGCGCGCCCGCCAGCGCGGCGCGGCTGTTGCTGCATGTCGCCTTCATGCCTCTCCTGTGCTGCTGCTGCTGCTGGCGATGGCCTAGGGCTGCTGGGTTTGCCTGGCGCAGGCTGTGGGGCTGCTGCCGCCGGTGTTGCTGCCTGCCGCCAAGAGCGCTGCTGCACAGGCACCTGCAGCGGCACCGGGTGGAACAGCAGGCGCCGGTGCGCGCTCAGGCGTTGTTCCGATCACAGGCCTTGGACAGAGGGGGCGTGCAGGGGCGGCAGGGGTGTGCTGAAGCACCCCAGCAGCAGAACGTCAGCATGACCTTGCGGCTTGGGCACCGCCACCAAGGCGCATTCTGGTGGTCCACGCACCTCGATACCGACGAAACGAGGTCAGGGTCCAAAGCCGCCGAGCGCTGGCGCCCAGGACTGACTGATAAGGCACCCAAAGAGTGCACGCCGAGGCGGCTGGCGCTGTGCCGCTGCAAACTGGCACACCCACACGCTGATCTCAACGATGGCCACGAAATGGGCGTGCCAGAGGGTGCTGGCGCCTCGGGAAGAAGGTCGCATCCAGCTAGGCAGGGGCTCAGAACGCCGCAATCAGGCCTGCTTCCCCCTCTTTGACCTCACGGTCACATCCAAGTTCACAGGTAACCTGTGGATCAACCCCTGCGTCCGTTTTTATGAGCTCCTGGGCCGATGAGAGCAATGGTGGTGGCTATGGAGGCCGCCAGGGAGGCTCTGGTTATGTCCCTCCGCACCTGAGGGGTGCTGGTGAGTGTTTGAACAGGCAGCAGGCCTGCAGCGCCCCGCCATCAGCCCATGCCCGCCGCCTCCCCGCCGAGTCGAGCATGACGGCGCTGCTTCCCGCCCCTGTCCCCTTTGCAGTGGCTTCTGCCCCTCCTCCTCCTCCCGCTGGCGGTGAGCACTCGCCGCATGCCGCTGCACGACCTACAGCATCCGAGCCCTGGGCCCTGGGCCGCCTGCGCGCGCCGCTGGGGCTTGGGTCGGCAAATGCGTTCTGCATCGCGCATGACAACGGGCGCAGGCAGCTGCCCTGACTGTGCTGGACTCGGCCGCCTCCAGCATGCTCGCTGACAACAGTTTGGCCCTTAGATGCAGGCGCTGCCGCCGGATACGGCGGTGGTTATGGTGGAGGCTACTCCAGGGGTGGCGGTGGCTACGGCGACGGCGGCGGTGGCTACGGCGGCGGTAGCCGGGGCTATGGCGGTGGCGGTGGCGGCTGGGGAGGTGGCGGCGGCAGCAGGTGGGCGTTGTTTTGCTTGCTGCTGCAGGCGTGCTGCCGGCAGAACACACGGCTTGTATCCCTGCTGCCGTTCAGAACACGGGAGCATTTTGGCGCCCGCACGTGCTGCACGTGCATGCCGCTCCCTGCGCCTCCGCGCACCACCCTCGCTGCAAGCCACTCTTGTTCAACATGCGCTGCCTGCCCGCCCCCTGAGCGTTTGCTTGCAGGGACCGCGGATACGGCGGCGGCGGCGGCGGTGGCGGCTACGGCGGCAGCCGCGGCGGCGGCTTTGGCGGCGGCCGCTGGGAGACCCGCGAGGAGAAGGACCCCTTTGCCGAGAGGTGTGCCCGCGCCCGCATGCCCGCGCCCACATGCCCGCGCCCGCTAGCGCCTGCACGCCCGCGCCTGCACGCCCGCGCGCCGGCCGCTGCGCGACCGCGCTGCCGCCCCTAGCCAGCCGCCCTGCCGGGGCGCCGCGCGGGGCCGCTGCGTGTGCCGCGTCCCCGCACCCCGCGCCGCCTCCCTGCGCTGCGCCCCTCGACCCCAGCACACGCCTCGCTCCACGCACGCTCCTCCCCCACGCCCCTGCTCACGCTCACGCTCCCTCCGCCTGCCTGCCTGCCTCCCGTGGCCGCAGCGACCGGGAGAAGCAGGCGGCAGACACGATGTTTGACACCGCCGAAAACACGGGCATCAACTTTGACGCTTATGAGGACATCCCGGTGGAGGTGAGTGGAATTGACATGTCACACAGCAGCATCGTTTTGGATTTGAAGCAGCTGCTTGGTAGGCGCCGAGCTGGCGCCGAGCTGGCGCTTGCCACGGGCCGGCCCGCGGCGGGGCCCGCTGGCCGCCGAGCCGGCGCCTTTGGCTGCGCGCTGCCTGCTGCCGCGGGCTGCCTGCCGGGCCTCCCCGCCGAGCCTCCTCCCCGCCGAGCCTCCTCCCGCCCCGGCCTGCCCTGCCCTGCTCCATCTTCCCCTGCAACACAGGTCAGCGGCGCCGACGCCCCCGAGGGCATCTCCTCCTTTGAGGATGTCGACCTCCCGCCTGCGCTGATGGAGAACGTGAAGCGGTGCAAGTACAACAAGCCCACGCCGGTGCAGGTGCGGGCGGCGGCGCGCCGCGGTTTCGGTTTCCTTGAGGGGCAGGCATGCGTGTGCCCCGCCTGGCGCGCCGCGTGGTGGGGTGGGAGGGGCGCGCGCTGCCCTGCTGCTCTGCGTCGGGCAGCGGGGGCCATGCTGGCGGTCGCGGCAATCTCCCCCCTTGCCTGCCTGCCTGCTCCCACAGCGCTACTCGATCCCCATCGGCCTGGCGGGCCGGGACATGATGGCCTGTGCCCAGACCGGCTCCGGCAAGACCGCCGCCTTCTGCTTCCCCATCATCGGCAACATCCTGCGCTCGGGTGCGCGCCCCTGCCTGCCTGCCTGCCTGCCCGCCTGCCTCGCTTGCCTTGCGTGGCAGAGGGCGCGGCGGCGGCGGTCGGCGGGGCCGCGGCGGTTTTTCCCAGAGGCGCCGCACGGCCCCCGCCTCCTGGCTGCGCCGGGCAGAGGGGCTGTGAAGGCGTGGTGGGCCACCCAACACACCCAGCCCTCCCGCGCGCCCCGGCTTGTCCTGCCGCCGGCTCCCCCGGCCCCCACCCCCTGCCCTCGCCCCCTCCGCTCACCCTCGCTCCACCCCTCGCCCCCCACCCCCCACCCCTTTGCCCCCCACCAGGCTACACCCCGCTGCGCGGCTCCCGCAAGGCCTTCCCGCTGGCGCTGGTGCTGTCGCCCACCCGCGAGCTGTCCACCCAGATCTACGATGAGTCCCGCAAGTTCACCTACCAGACCGGCGTGCGACCCGTGGTGGTGTACGGCGGCGCGCCGCAGCAGCAGCAGGTGCGCGCCGGCCGCCTGTGTGTGTGTGTGTGTGTGTGTGTGGCGTGGGATGGTGAGGCATGCCGCCCCGCGTGTTGCTGTGGCGGTGGGGGTGGGGTGGGCCAGGCAGGAGCGAGCGCAGCAAGCTGGGAGCGCCTGCCCCCTGCCCCTCCCGCCCTGCCCTGCTTTGCCTTTGCTTCCCGGCCCTTGCCGCGCCCCGCCCGCCCAACTCGCAACCCCCTCCCCGTCCGCCCGCCTCCCTCCCCGAACAGCTGCGCGAGCTGGAGCGCGGCTGCGACTTCCTGGTGGCCACCCCCGGGCGCCTGATCGACATCATGGACCGCGCCCGCGTGTCGCTGGGGTGCGCCCGCGTGTGGGGGGCCCGGGGCGGCTGGCTGGGGGCGGCGGGTGTACGTCGCTGTGTGGCCAGGGTGGCTGGCTGGCTGGCGGTGGGGCGGGGGTGCCAGCAGGAGCCTTGCAGTGGGATGCCCGGCTGGCAGCAGCTCCAGTGGGCCAGCTGCGCAGGCCAGGCCTGGCCGCACCGCGGCCGCTGCAGCAGGGAGCTCCTTCATGGCTCTGCCACTGTGCTACTGTTGCGCGCCGCGCGTTGACGCGTCCCGCCGCCCCCCTCCTCCCGCCCCGCCCCTGCGCCTGCGCCCTGCCTGCCTGCCTGCAGCAAGGTGCGCTTCCTGGCGCTGGATGAGGCCGACCGCATGCTGGATATGGGCTTCGAGCCCCAGATCCGCAGGCGAGGCCCGCTGCCGGGGCTGCCACGCCTGAGCCCTAGCCCTGCTGCCGCACCGGAGGCCTGGCCCTGCCGCCGGGGCCTGCCGCGCCCTCGGCGCAACCCGCCGTGCGCTTCCCCTGCCTGGGGAATAAGCTGCGTGGAGGGCGGCCGCGCCTGGTGCTGCCTGTCCCTGCGGCGGGCACCACCACCGCCACCACCACTGCCACCACGTTGCCACCTCATCGCCCTGCGCCCCCAGCCTCCCGCCTCAGCCCTGCCCCTGCCTCCACACATTGTTTCCCACACCACACGCCTCGCACCCACCCACCCACACACTCTGCAGGATTGTGGATGAGGAGGACATGCCACGCCCCGGCGAGCGCCAGACGCTGCTCTTCTCCGCCACCTTCCCCAAGGAGATCCAGCGCCTCGCCGCCGACTTCCTGCACAATTACATCTTCCTCACGGTGGGTGTGGGGGTGGTAGTGTGGTGTGGGGGGGTGGGTGTGGGTGTGGTGGTGTGTGTGTGGGGGGCTGGGGTTGCTGCGGAGGGTTTCTGTTTCTGGGGGGCCTGCTGGGTTGGGGTGCCCTGCCTGCTGGGGGCTGCCGAGGCCTGCTGGCCTGCTGGGCCTGGCATCTCGCCGCATCCCACACCTACCCCCTTCTGCGCCCCCCACCACCAACCCGCCACCCTTTCTCTGTCCGCCTCCTCCCGTCCTGCAGGTGGGCCGCGTGGGGTCCTCGACCGACCTCATCGTGCAGGTGATTGACTGGATTTGTCTGAGTTTGATTAAATTGCTTTATTGATGGATTGATCACTTGATCGATTGATTGATCGATTTGACTGATGGGTTTGATTGGTTGGTCGGTTCCTGCAGGTGATTGAGTACGTGCCCATCCAGGACAAGCGCCAGATGGTGCTGGACCTGCTGCAGACGCTGGAGAAGGTGGGTGGCAGCTGGCTGGAAGCTGGTTGCCAGCGGGCGGAAGCTGGTTGCCAGCGGGCTGCCTGGGGCGTGGCTGGGGCTGGCTGGCGCCTGGGGGCGTGGCAGCGTGCTAGGGAGCCAGTCTTTGGGGGCAGCACGTGCTCGTCAGCTGGGCTGCTCCTCTGTGTGTGTGTGTGGCTGGCTGGCTGGCTGCAGCACCGCATGCGGCCTCCCCAACGCCCCGCCTGAGCGCTTGGGCCCGCTCCCCGCCCCACTCCTGCCCTGCCCTCCTGCCCCACTCTCTGCCCGCCTCCCCGCTTTCTTCTGATGCCCCCAGGGCCTCACCCTCATCTTTGTGGAGACCAAGAAGGGCGCCGACGCGCTTGAGGACTTCCTGTGCCGCAACGGCCTGCCCGCCACCTCCATCCACGGCGACCGCTCGCAGGCGGAGCGCGAGGCGGTGCGTGTGGGCAGCGCCGCGGGCCCGCCGGCGGCCGCCGGGCCTTGGCCTGTGCATGCGGCGTGGCGGCTTGGTGCACCGGGGCTGGCCGCCGCGTGGGGTGTGCGCCGGCGGGCCTCGGCTGGCGCTAGGGGATCCTCCGGAGCCCGCGGGCGGGGCGCCGCAGCCCTGCCCTGCCCTGCCTGGCACCCACTTCACACCCTCTTCACCCTCCCCTCCCCCGCCTTGCCCTGCGCTCCGCCCCCGCAGGCCCTGCGCAGCTTCCGCACGGGGCGCACCCCGGTGCTGGTGGCCACGGATGTGGCGGCGCGCGGCCTGGACATCCCTCACGTCACCCACGTCATCAACTTTGACCTGCCCTCAGACATTGATGACTATGTGCACCGCATCGGGCGCACGGGTCGCGCGGGCAAGAAGGGCCTGGCCACCGCCTTCTTCTCGGAGAAGGACACGGGTGGGTGGTGCCGCCGGGTGTACCGCCGGGTGTGCCGCCGCGCGTGGTACTGCTGCGCGCATGCGCTCCCTGGTGCCGCGAGCCGCGGCCGCCGCACCTGCGCATGCCTGCCAGCCGCCCTCCCCTCCTGCCTCCTACGTCTGTCCCGTCGTCACCCTCCCTGTCTTCCTCCCTTGCTTTCTGGCCCTCCTTCCCCCCCCGCCCCGCAGGCATCTCCTCCAAGCTGGTTGAGATCCTGAGCGAGACCAACCAGGAGGTGCCCGCCTGGCTGCAGAACATGGCGCAGGTGGGAGGCGGCTTGGTGTGCTTGGGGCTTGGTGCTGGGCTGGGGGTGATGGGCTGGGCTGGGGGGGGGTGGGCTGGGCTGGGCTGGGCTGGGCTGGGCTGGGCTGGGCTGGGCTGGCCTGGGCTTGGTGCTGGGCTTGGTGCTGGGCTAGGCCAGGTGTGGCGGGCAGCAGGGCTGGGGTTGGTGGCTGCGGCAGGCGTGCTGCGGAGGTGGCAGGGCTTTGTGCTTTTAAAGGCGGCAGAGCGTGGTACTGAGGCTCATCATGCTGTCCCTGCCTCTCACATCTGTGGGCACACGCCGCCGCCGTGCATGCAAGCAAACGCCCGCCCCCTGGCTGACCGGCCCTGTGCCCTGCCTGCCTGCCCCTGCGCCCCCCCCCCCCCCTTCTTTCCACCCTGGAGCGCTCCGCACCCTACGGATCCAAGAGCCGCGGCGGCCGCGGCGGCAACCGCTTTGGCGGCCGCGACTTCCGCCGCGACGGCGGCGGCGGCGGCGGTTACGGCGGCGGCGGCGGCGGCTACGGCGGGGGTGGCTATGGCGGCGGGGGTGGCGCCTACGGTGGTGGCGGCTATGGGGGCGGCGCCTATGGTGGCGGTGGCGGTGGCTACGGTGGCGGGTAAGTGGCGCCCCCGCGGCGTGCCTGCCTGCCTTCCCCCGCTGCTGTGTGTGCTCTGTGCGTGTGCCAGCCTGCAGCAGCCCGCTCCAGAGCGCTGGGAGGGCCCTTATCGTGTGTCCTTCTTGCCTGCGCGTCACTGTAGCGGCTATGGCGGTGGCGGCTACAGTGGCGGTAGCGGCTACGGCGGCGGCGGTGGCTACGGCGCCGCCGGTGGCGGCGGCTCGTCTGCCTGGGACTAGAGCGGAGGCCCGTGCCTGGGCCCGCGCCCGCGCCGCCACACCCGGCGGCGGCGGCGGCTGCAGCGGGCGCCCGCGTGCGGCTGGCCGGGCTGTGCCCACCCGTCTCCCCCGCCCTCCTGTTGGCACGCTGCGCCGCGCCTGGGGGCGGGGCCGGCGCCAACCAGCGGCCCTCGATGAGCGCCGCTGAGCAGTAGTGAATGCAATAAGCTCCCCACCCCAACGCACCCACCCAACACAGGACCCATGTCCTGCCCCTCAATGGGCCTCCCCCTGTGCTGCTTGTACGGACGGCTTGGCTGGGGGGTGGCTGGGCCTCGCTGCCCCTGCCCCCCCGCCGCGCCTCTGCACCGGCGCAGGCGATGCATCCTCCCATCTGTCCCCCCTTTCCTTCGTGCTTCACCTTGCTTGCTCGCTTCCCATGTCCCAGCTGCTCCCTCCCCCGCCCTCTCACCAGCACTCTACGCCCTCTCTTCTTTCCTACTTCGTGCTGCTTCGCGTCAATTTTCGTCCCCCTCGGCCCCCCTTCCGCACTGACATTGCGCAGACAAACGCCCCTGCCCCATTTCATTGCGCGCGGGGCTGCGGGCGGTGGGCGATTCCCTGGTTCGTGCCCCCCTCCTTGGCCGCGGCCGCCGCGCTGCCGCGCGCGGCTGCGGCTGGGCAGCAGGCACGGGCCCACCGAGGCACAGCACACACACGGATCGATCCACCCCGCGACTCAGCGCCGACGCAGATCCCTCGCCGGGATGACGGGGCGCCTCCCCCGTGCTCCGAGGAGCGCCTCGGAGCGCCCCGGCCCTGCCGCTGAAGCGCGCCTGGCGGCGCTGGAGCCATGGAAGCCGGCACACTGGTGTGTAACAGACTATAGCAGCCGGCAGGCGTGGTGCAGAGAAGTCGGCGGGTGGGAGGGAGGGTTGTGTATACGCTACACGGGGTGGATACGCAGGGCGGGATCGGGCAGCGGCAGCAGGCCCGGGGCCGCCTGCACCTCAGCCGGCACCCGCTACGGAGCCAAGGCACGACCACCGCAGGGATGTCTGCGCGAAGGCATAAACGGATAGAACCCATGCATGCGCCGGCAGCTGTCCAGCCCCCCCCCCAGCACACTCCTCATGCTCCTCTTTCGTTAGCCCCCTCGTTGAGGCGCTTGCGCCAACACCGCCAGTCGTGCTCCGCCTCTTTTTCCTCCTCCTCCACCTCCTCCTCCTCCTGCTGCTGCTGCTGCTGCTGCTGCTGCTGCTCTGCCACCGCCACAATACTCCGCCCAGACCGGTGCGCGGCGGCGGGCGCCCGCCTCGTGCAGCAGCTGCGCCAGGCGGAAGGCGAGTGGGGTGAGGCTCCCTGACCAGTCCACCCAGCCGCCCACTTCCGCAATCATATCCGCCAGATGACTTTGTGGACCATATGGGACGCCTGTGGCCATGGCGGTGCCCTTGGGTTCGAGCGTGGAGCGCTTCGTGGCCGACAGGCCGACCACCTGCTCCACAGGGGTGGGGCAGGCAGGGGCAGGCAGGGGCAGGCAGGGTCGGACGCTCACACAGCGCCGCGGTCCGCGTTGCACCACGCCGGCCAGTCTCCACCCGCCCCCCGCCATCGCACAGGCACAAAACGGCTCTGAGGCACAGCCACAGACACCATCACACACCACACACGCCCGCCTGCCATCGCTGCATGCAGGCAAAGGCGCCTCCCCGCGGCGGCAGCAGCTCACTTGCAGTTCGGTGCGGCGGCGCAGCGCTTCCAGCGTTTTCATCGGCGAGCGCACCGCGTCCAGCTTGTTGGCCAGCACCAGGGCGGGCAGGCGGGAGAGGTGGGGGGCATAGGCGGCCAGCTCGCGCTGCAGGGTGTCCAGCTGGTCCCAGCACTTGGGCCCCGGCCGCCCTGCACCAGGGCGTGCAGGCACGCAAAGCGGGTTGGCGGGCAGGCAGGCTGGCAGGCTGGCAGGCTGGCCAGCCAGCCAAGGGCAGGGGCAGCCGCAGGAGAGGCAGGGGGCGCCAGCCAAGCGCGCCAGCCTGCCAGCAGCGGATGCCGACCGGCGAAGCGTCGGCTGCCCGGGAGGCGAGCAGGCAGGGGCCGGCCAGCCCCCCCGCCCAGCCCGCTGCGGCTGCCAGGGAGCTCCCGGGCGGCACCACAGGCACTGACTGACTCACTTCCGTTGCCGGACTGGCAGTCCAGCACATAGGCGATGACCTTGGTGCGCTCGATGTGGCGCAGGAAGCTATGGCCTAGCCCGCGGTTCTGCAGGCACAAGCACAAAAGCGCACCCGCACACACAGGCACTCAAGCTAGCAGAGCGGCGCCACGCAGCTCCAGAGCCCCCAATTTCGCAGGCACACACACACACAGGCACACACACGCGCACACACAACAGCAGCAGCTGGTGGACTGGCTGAACAGCCTGCTCGTGCGCATACACGCGCGTATGTAGCCACCTGGGCAGTTGGCCAGGCAGCTCGAGAGGCGCAGGCGGCAGAGCAAGCGTGCTGCCCGGCGCCTGCCGCAGACCACGTCCCCGCCCGCAGCGGGCACTGCGCATCGCGCGGCGGCGACAGCGAGCTGCTGGCAAAGGCAGAGGGCTGGCTGGCCCGCCTGCGGCGTGGCGCCGCACCTGGTGTGCCCCTTCTATCAGCCCCGGGATGTCTGCTACCACTATGGGCTCCTCTGCTGGGTCGGGCGCCGTCCACACCCCCAGTTGCGGCGACAGCGTGGTGAAGGCGTAGTCTCCCACGCGCGGCGTCGCCGCCGTCAGGCCACGCAGCAGCGTGGACTTGCCCGCGCTGGGCAGGCCCACCAGACCCACATCCGCCAGAAGCTTCAGCTCCAGCAGCAGGCGGACTTCCTCCCCGGGGAGACCCTGCTGCGGCAGCGGGCAGGCGGGGGGCAGGGCGGGCCGAGGGTGGCGCCAGCCGCTGGGCCCGGCTGGCGAGGCACACGGCAGCCGGCGTGTGCATGCCCTCTGCGCCAAGGCCAGGCAGGCAGCCCCGGTGCGCTGCCCCGCCGGCGCTGGCCCGCAGCCCAGCCCAGGCCCCGGCTCACCTGCCCCGGCTCGGCAGGAGCAGGGCGGCTAGGCGTGGCCTTGAGGCCGGCGTTGCCGCGCCCGCCGCGGCCGCCCCGGGCCGCCACCACCTCCTGCCCGTCCTCCACCAGGTCTGCCAGCAGCTGGTACTGCTGCTGCGGGTCCTGCTGCGCCTGCTGGGCGGCCCGCGCGGCGCCGCCGCCGGCGCCCGCGTAGGAGGCATCCCCTCGCTCCTCATCCGCGTCGCTGTCGCTGTCCGAACTGCCGCCGTCCGAGCCGCTGCTGTACTCTGCCCCCGAGAAGGACTGCCGCCAACGGCGCAGCCACTCTGGCACATCCTCCTCCTCCTCCCCGCCCTGCTGCTGCTCCTCTGTCGCCGCCGATGCTGGCGCTGGGGCGTCCCCGGGCTGCCGCAGGCGCTGCACCACGGTGCCCACCGGCACCAGCACCACCGCGTCCCTGCCTGCGCGGCCGTGCTGCCGCTGCTTCGTGCCGTGTAGCCCGGGCGGGGCCTTGTACAGCTGGCGCACGCCCGCCAGGCTCTTCATGCTGCGCCAGCGGCGGCCAGCGGGGCACGGGTGATGGTGTGCATGCGTGGGGTGCAGCAGATCAGGGCAGCGGCTAGCGGGGGGCAGGATGTGGTGTGTGTCATGCGCAGGGGTGCAAGCACATCACAGGGCGGCGCCAGCTCTGGGCGCCCGACGCAACCGCCGCATGCGGCTGCACCCGCAGGCGACACTCACTTGGCCACTGCGCGCACCACCACGTTGCCTCCGTCGCCTCCGCTGCCCCCATCGGCCGTGGCACGCCGCCCTGGAGCACCCCGGGTAGAATTGCAGGTGCGGGAGTAGTTGCGTGCGGTTGGCGGCATGTGCGCACATGCCGCCGCCACCCGCTGCAGCGCAGGTCTCGTTGCGCACGAAATTACCTCTGGACGCTCCCTGGTAGAAGCTGACGCACCCGTTCCCGCCCTTGCCGCCCCTCGCCGTGATTTTCAGCCGGTCGACGTAGCGCTTGTCGTGTTCTTCATCGCGCTCTAAATCGCCCAGGCTGATCGCCAAGGTGCTCAGGGAAGTCGTCAGGGCGGGGCTCAGCGCCACCAGATTTAGGGCCGCTGACAGGCGAGGCGCGCAGAGCGCCTGGCGCACCGCCTGCATGCTAGACGCAATGCGCAGAAACAATTGAAGAAACGGTTGCAGCGTGCATGCCGGATCAATGTCACGAGCCTGCCGCCTCCCATGCGGCGCCTCCCTGGCGGCTTGTGATATTTTGCTGTGCACGTTTATGTGCTATTGCTCCTTTATGATAATTTTAGATGGGCACACGTGCAAATCACAAATCTCGTGCATTGGTCTGAGGCCTGGAGTAGAATCAGTGGGCCCGCTCTTGCCTTCCCCATCAGCCAGGCCGCTTCCACCCACCGTCCGTCAGCTGGCACTTGCTCCCAGCGCCCCTCCCCTCTGCCGAGTCTGTTGCCGGCCTGCCTTACATGCAGGCATCGGAGTGCCGGCGTGCTGCAAGAATGTGCTGCACAGGAAGAATGCGGCAGGGGGATGGTAGGTAGCAGGGGCGGGGAAAAGACGGGGCATGTGCTTTGCAGGCGTGCAGTGCTGTGCACACCCCCCACACACAAACGGGAGGGGGAGGGATCCGTCCATGCATGCAAGGGTGTCGGCTTGCTTGGTCCATGAAAGAAAGCGAGGTGAGGGGCAGAGAAGAAATGTCGGACGCGGCGCCAGCCGTGCAGCGGCCGCAGGCAGCGGCGCTGCTCCCGAGCAGGCAGCTGGGCGGGGGGAGGGGAGAAGAGAGCATGCACAAGCACAAAGGGTTCCACACCACAAGTAACGGGCACCAGCGCTCAGCGGTTCGGCAGGAGGGAGTTCAGACGGAAGAACAACAGAGGGAAGAGGCGACCGCCCCGCACACGCGCCGGGCCGGTGCGGGGGCAGGAGCCCGGGCGGGGCGGGGCGGGGCGTGGGGCTCGGGCGCCGCGCCACGGGCAGGGCAGATGGTACAAAACAGGTGGGCAGGGGGCGAGCCGGGGGCCGGCGACCGCCGCCGACGGCCGTTGCAGCGGCCCGGGCTGGGCAGGAAGCCAAGACCCTCAGCATCACTTGGTGCCTTCAGCCACCAGCTCGGCGCTGCCATTGGGGTTGGACCTGGCCGCCGCCGCGGCGCTGCCCTCGTCCACCGCCGCGCCCGCGCCGCTGGCCAGCCGGCGCCGCGCCTCCACCGCCGCCGCCGCCAGCTCCAGCATGCCGGGGCGCGACACGCCTGCTGGGAGGTCGGGCTTCGTCACCCACTCCTGCTTGGTGGCCAGGGTCTGCAGCGGGAGGAGGAGGGAGGGAGCAGGGGCGCGAGGTCCAGGTCGGGGGGGGCGCATGCGCCGGGACGCACGCGGGGGCCCCTCCCGTGCGCCGCTGCTGCACGTACAGCCGGGGTACGGCCCCAGCCCCAGCCGCCGCCATGCGTGTGCCCCGCAGCCACCGCAGTCCCAGGCTCCCCACGCACCGCTCCCGCCCAGGCGCCACCCAACCAGGCCAGGCCCCAACTGTTTGTCGTAATGTTTGTCGTCATTAATGCATCACACAGCCCAGCCCCGGCCCACACAGCCCAGCCCCACCCCTGCTGACCCAGCTCCACCCCCACCCCCCCACACCACATACCTGCTGCCACTTGTCCTCCATGTCAGCCACCATCTCAATGAACTTGGCGTCATCGGCGGTGGGAGCCCACGTGCCCGCCGCCGTGGTGGCGCCCGGGGCTGCGGGGGGCAGGCAGGTGCGGCGTGTCGGCACACCATGCATCACACCATGTGTCGTGACACACACACCACACACGCCGGCACATGCACGTAACACCATGCTTCACACCACACGACACGCCCAACACCATGCGCCACACCGTGGCCACAACCCGCCACACCACCACCCGGGTCCCGCAGCCGCCCGCCGCACCCGTCTGCAGCGCCTCTCGCGCCTCCTTGTTCTTGCCGCCCGCCACCAAAAACTCCTCCCACATGCCCAGCTGCCGGAACTTGGAGTAGCGGTCCAGCTGCACCTCCTCAGCGCTCATCGAAGCATACCTGCGCGCGGCGGGGTAAGGCGCGGGCAGGCAGGCAGGCAGGCAGGCGGCAGCAGGGAGGGAGTCAGAAGCAATGGGCAGCGCTGGTTGGAAGCAGCAGCCGCAGACCAGGCCCGCACACACACATGCACATGAGCAGCAGCAGTCCCAGCCTCACACGCGCGCACCACACACCACACGCACACACTGCATGCAGCCCCCCCCCCCCCCCCCCCCCAAAAAAAAAAACAAGCAAACGCACCTGGGGGAATGGGGCATGATGGCCTCCTTTATGGGGGGGAAAGGGGAAATGGGGTCGGGGTGGGCCCCCCCCCACGGCTCC